AGCGTCCTCGGTGCAAATAAGGATGTAACTCGCTTCAAAATTGAGCTAGAAACGTGATTTTTGTTGCGAAATGAAGGAAATTTTCAGTATTATCCAGCTAGTTCCCCCAATAAATAGAGTAACTTTTTTTCAGCTATCTACGTTATCGTTGGGCTCGTTATTGTTATGGCGTCCATTGGTGTGGTGCTAGTACTACCGTATGTTCGAAAATATCAAGCAAAACGGAACAAGAATCAAGAAAAAGTACTGGATGATCAGACAAGGTTGGAGACATTCGGATATACAGAAAATCAGAAAAAAATTTTTTTCAGATTCGGAAAGTTCTGCTCCTGGCTGAAAGTGGAATATGTGCTAATGGTTGTGTTTCAAATTGCGAATTTTGTGAACTTTATTATTTTGTTCATGTGATCTTTAGATTTCCAAATAAATATAAATAGGCTTATTCCATTATTTGAGCAACCTAAAACATCATTTTTGTGGCAGGTGCTAAAGAATATTAGCTTACACTCATTGCTCATATTTTCTGTCTAAACAGAAGTTTTCTTTTCAAATGCATTTTATTCAGTTTCCCTTTTTATTTCTTCTGGTAAAATCACAAAATCTATCAAATATTGGAAGTAAGCTAAATCGTTCAATTTTCGGCTTAAAATATACAATCTTTCAGCTACAAACTACAAAAAATTTCTAAGCGACCAAGATAGGTTATGGGATGATTTGTTCAAGAATTACAATCCAAAACGGAATGCGATTTATACATTACGTATGATTTTACAAAATCCATAGCTGTAAGAGTTTCAGAACTTTCAGGAAGCTCCGAATGGATCAACCAAAATGCCACCATACACCCAGAAAGTACAAAATTATTGCTGACGATGTCTATGCTGAAATTGATTGATGTGGTGGGCAATCACTCACACGTTAGACCGCGTATCTCAGCTTTGAATAGTGTATTTTTAAAAAACGTATCTTCATAAATACGAGCAACTTTTCATTTACATTTTGCTAGAAAACTTAAATTCCTATCTCAATTTTGAAGCAAGTTACAGGCCGATTTGTTCCGAAGACGCAGTCGGCGAGAGGTGATGAGCGGCGGCGCGCCAAAGTTAGGAGAGCCTGGCTGTCGCGCGCGCCGCAAGACACATCTAGCCGACCGCGCCCCCACTCGCTTCAAAATTGAGCTAGCAACATAATTTTCATTTCAGGTCGAAGTCGAAGAAAAAGTCACATTTATATTTGACTATAACGCCGATTGGGTGGACCCAAGGCTTACGTGGAATCCACAGGATTATGGTGGTATTGATCATATTTATGTACCCCAAGAAGAAATTTGGATGCCAGAAGTTTCGATTGCGGACGCGTGAGTTTGTGTGCAATATTTCCCATATGGTACCGTGAGTACCATATGAACCACGACTAGCATGAGTGCCTTTTTGTGTCATGAGTAATATAAATACCATTTGGTATCATGATCACCATACAGTAGCTAGAGTACCATGAGTACCAGTTTGTACCATGAATATCATTTGGTACCATTTGGTGCCATGGGGACCATGAGAACCATTTGGTACTATGGACACCATTTGAAACGATGAATACCATATTTTACTATGAACACAATTGGAACCAACAAAACCATTTGTAACCATGGATAGCTATGCCTATGGTACTATGGTATGCCTATGGTACTATGATGCCTATGGTACTATGAGTTTCATTTGTTACCATGAGTTCCATTTGGTACCATGAGTACGAGGTGTATCATTTAGCACCATGAGTTCCATTTGATACCATATGTTGGACCCATTATTGCCATTTGGTACCATGAATACCATTCAGTACCATGAGCAACATTTTGTACCATGAATACCACTTGGTACTATGAGTACCATTGGATACTATGAATAATATTTGGTACCATGATTACCATTTGGTATCATGTGTGCTATAAGTACTATCTTTACCCTGAGTACCATTTGGTACCACATCTACCATATGGTACCATGAGTACCATGGAAAATAGATACCTATCATTTTTTTTTTACAGCCACGAAGTCAAAACCTTCCAACTGGATGACGCTCCCAGACGAGCATGGGTAGTTTCTAAAAATCACAAATTGCAAATTACCCAGTGCCATTTTTCAGGTCTTCCACAACGGATCGGTCGGCTTCTACACCGCTACCGTATGCTCTATAATTTGCGCGCTCGATGTAACAAGTCGTAATCCATATCTACAGTAATCTATATGATCTGCAGGTCTTCAAATTTCCAATGGACGAGCATGAATGTGGAGTTAGTGTACTGTATCACAATTATTATCCAGATGAGTATGAAATTAAAGGCGCCATGCAGGAATTCGCAAGACCTATTTCGAAATTGGTTAGATATTTTTTTTTTTTTTGGAATTTCGATGTGATATCCGTTTTTAGGGCAATGGGGAGTGGCAAGTAACCTATGTGGGTGTCGGAGAGGAGCAGAATAAAAATTGGGCCCCTACGCAAAAATTCATAGCTCGAATCAAACGGAATCCAGGGTTTTATGTGTCGCTAGTTATGGTACCCGCCTATTTTATCAACTTTTTGACAATTCTTGCACTTTTTTGCAATATCGAGAATGTTGCCGAGAAGGTATGGTTTAGAAAAAAATCATTAAAAATGGTAAAGTTTTCAGCTAAACATTGGGTTGACTAACATCATGGCGATGACTTTTATTCTGGTGATTCTGGCCGTGGACCTTCCTAAAACTGCGAGGATTCCGTTGTTAGGTGATTTTCAAGACAAGCCATCTTTTCTCTACATTTTGCAACAAAAATCAAGTTTCTAGCTCAATTTTGAAGCGAGTTATAGACCAATTTGTTCCGAGGTCGCGGTCGGCAAGAGG